ATCATCTAAATTTAAAGAAAAACCTCATTTTAAGCTTCACGTTCTGAGGTGCTTTAGTGACTAATGAAAATTAGCAAAAATGTACTCCTTAATTTTTTCAAACTTCCATAAGTCCAATCGTAATACGACAGTCTTTTGATATTTTGAACCCTTGTGAACTAGTTTTCGTCAACTTTCTTCTTAATATTAGTTTGCTGAGGTTGTTGTAGCCAATTAGTAAAGTAGCTTTGAATAAGTTTTATTTTGATTTGTATGTTTGAGATACGAACTGCAACAGATATTGAAGTTTTTAATGTTTTTCTCGCAAGATGAGTTTACTTTCATTAGATCGTTCTAGAAGTGAAATTCTTCTCTTGAAGTTGTGGTATTACGACTTTTTGGGACTTCATTGCTTGGAGATTCGATTAATCTCTTTGCAAGGGTTGGAAATCACAACTGAACTATCCTAAGCACCTGGAAAGTACCACATTGGGATGACTTTTTAAATTAACATTAAGCTCCCGTTTAGCCCTAGTATTGATGAGTGATATTTTTTCGGCGGATACCATATATACCAGATATAACACGTATTGGCAGTAGGTGGAAGAGAAGCCAACCCGTGGAGAGCGCGGGCCGACCAGCCAGCTGCCCACACCTACTAGTAGGGACCCAGATGCTCCCCAGTCTTATACCATTTATTACAATTTGCATTAGATGACCGTTCGGAGCCCATTTTCGAGAATGTGTTTACATGTTATCCTCCTATGGAAAAGTCCAGATCCCATTGGTGTCCGGGGCATTTTGCGCTAGGTTCCTCCGTCCCCCCAGACAGCAGGAGGACGCCAACCAACCGACCTACCGCCCTAGCCGAACGGCCCCCTCAATGTGATTTTGTTCATATGGTGTTTTAGAAAAACTGTCGACAGTAACCGGTCTGCTTGAACGGTTTTAATTTTATCAAGTACTCAACCTGATCATTAGGACTTTCTTCTAGTGTATTCTCCCTGGTGTACCAAATAGCGAATAAACCGAAAAACCAATTCTTATTTCGTCCCGCACAGGAATCATCGAATGTGGTGAACTTACGCATTAGACAAATGATAACAAACGTCAGGGAAGTAAATGTGACTTATACTGAGCGAGAGGGACAAATGACAATGTCCTAGAGTCCTAGTATGCGTGTTGACTTTTACCCTGTATGGATAAACTCCTATCGCTTGTTCCGACCTCGAGAACACGTTTTTAGCCAATTCTGACCTCACCATCATGTCCGCTTTGTAATCTTCATGTATTTATACATCCTTTTCGGTCTCTCTATAAATGAACATTCTTTTTATCACCTCTTCCTTCCAAATTTTTATATCGTCAACAAAAGTAATTTGGCTGTACAAATTCTCAATTGTTCTAAGAACAGTTTTGAAACTAATCATTTTGATTTTAAGTCTAAATGCAAGATTTGCAATAAAAATTCTCTTGTTATAAAAAAATATATTTACAAGGAAAGTTGTTCATCGAGATTCACGAGATCGGAACGCGTTTTACACAAAAGTGAGTTTTATTAATCTATCGACCGGAAGGCAATTAAACGTGGAATACGCTGAGATAGAGGAGCGGTGTATTGGGCCATAAAGCCCGGAAAGGACGACATGAAAAGGGGGAGCGTGGATGAATAATTAAGGATAATAAAGACCTTTTCATTTAACCGAAAATGTGAAGCCTGCGTTCCAACGAGGCCGCGGTTCCCAGAATGTGGTTTAATATCTGGTTGGAAAAGATAGAAAATGAAGATTTAAGATGGAAACTGGGCTGTAACTTTTGAATTACACCGCCGAGGAAATAAATACTGGGAAAAAGAGAAACGACGAGAATCCATCAACCTGTCGCTTGCGTTGCCGAATTGTCCGACAGTTTATTGAAAAGAAGAACGGATGGATCCGTCGCCGTCACCGGGGAAGAATAATGATTAAATACGTTATTGAGCTGATAATAAAATATCTATCGGCCTAACTACCCATCTGTTTTTGATGTTAACATGCATTAATTGGGGTCGCTCAATTTAACAATCGTCTGGATGTTTAAGAATTTTATTGTTACACATAAATGTTTAAAAATCGCTCGATTTTCTTTAATATTACCACATTATTTAACATCTGAATTTGTGAATATTCAAATTTCAAATTGTTCTTATGAGATTTCTCTATGTGGTATGCGGATGCCTGCAATTTGGTCAGTACCGATAACTTTGGTCTGGTTTAGTCTGTCAAACGAGTATCGGCCTTTCGCCATCATTCGCGGTTGGTCAGATTACAAGCAGGGTGAGCCAACAAACTCTATATGAAAATATAGAAATTTGACTGATAAACCAAATCAGCGAGGATAGGCATGCCAAACTATTTCTATGGCAATATATAATGCTAGATTTTTTATATTCAAAAGGTAGTAAATTGGTGATAAACAGGATGAAATAGAAACATCGTAAAAAATTTTACCATTTTGAAGTAACTGTATGAGAAATTGTGGAGTTTGGTGTTTTCAACAGATTAAAACAGCTACTTTAACGACCGAATGATATATTTTTAATATGAAACAATTATATATAATTAATTTATTATTATAGAAATTAACGTTTAACAGTAGATTTATACAACCGCGACGGTATGATCTAGGCTGTACGCGTTTCAGGATCAGGATTTGCCATTTTCCTTGACCATGAAACTTGTCGCCCTTGTAAGTTCTGAAAACGAGAGAGAAGAAACGTCCGGTAGACCTCGTAAAAATAGACAATTTTATTTTATTTTTTAAACTTTTCGGCGAGGCTTTGTGACCTAAAGTGGTCAATAATCTCAAAAACGTGTTTTCTGACTACATTTTGAAAATATCTCAGTAACTATCGGGTTGTCCGGAAAATAATGCAGGATTTTAAGTTTTCATTAAAAAAAATCTATATAAAATATTCTGTTTACGTTTACAGGATTACTCATTTGTATGAATGTCAACACTTATTAATCCTCTTCCAAATGATATTGTTTGTTTACCTCTGTAGCATTCCGCTACTTGGAAATAATTCAGTCATCCTTATAATGTCAAAGCGAGAATTTCGTACGATTTTCTTTTACGAGTTTAAACTCGGCCGAAGCGGAGCCCAAACGGCTAGAAACATTAACCAAGTCTGGGGCGAGGGTTGTGTTAATGAGTGCACTGTGCAAAGGTGGTTTAAAAAATTTCGGGAGGGAGATTTCAGCCTTGAAGATGAAGAAGGTCGTGGAAGGCCTTCCTCTCTTAATGATGATGTTCTGCGATCAGTGGTGGAAGAAAACCCCAAAACAACTGTTCGAGAACTTGCAGAGCAACTCAAAGTCAGTAAAACGACCGTCGCTGACCACCTCAAGGCGATTGGAAAAGTGAAAAAACTCGAAAATTGGGTTCCACACTCATTAAACGATCGCCAAAAAAATCAGCGCTTTGATGTTTGTGCATCACTTCTTTGTCGAAACAAAAATGACCCATTTCTGGCCAGAATTGTTACATGTGACGAAAAGTGGATTCTCTACGATAACACTAGACGTTCTGGACAGTGGCTCGACAAAGGAGAAGCTCCAATACATTTTCCAAAGCCCCCAACTCATCAAAAAAAGGTAATGGTTACGGTATGGTGGGCTTCATTTGGTTTAATACACTACAGCTTCTTAAATCCTGGCGAAACCATCAATGCTGAATCATACTGTAACCAAATTAATACCATGCATCAGAAATTGGCAGTAATGAAGCCCTCTTTGGTCAATCGGAAAGGGCCCATTTTGTTGCATGACAACGCTCGACCACATGTGTCACGTGTAACGTCACAAAAATTATTGGAGCTTGGCTATGAAACTTTGCCTCACCCACCCTACTCTCCGGACCTCTCGCCTACTGACTACCATTTTTTTAGACACCTGGACCACTACTTACAACACATAATATTCAAAAATCAAACGGAACTGGAAAATGCATTTATTGACTTTATCAATTCTAAAAATTCTGAATTCTACTCAGACGGAATTAATAAGTTACCAACACGTTGGGAGAAATGTATTGAGAGTATGGGAAATTATTTTGATTAAAGAACATTGATTTAAAGTAACTAGTTTCTTTTTTTTTGTTTAATACCAAAATCCTGCATTATTTTCCGGACAACCCAATATTAACTTTTTTTTGAGTAACGTGATATTTGTTTTGTAGTTAAATTTGCTTATTTCAATTTCTTCTCAACTTATAGTAAAAATAATTTAAAAAGTAATATTCGTGATTAATTATTAGATTTCATGTCCGAATGTTTTTTCTAAGCATGTAGTATCAAATATAGGAATAACCTACGGGCCATGACGTGAAAATATTTTCTGCGACGAAACTTTTATGGTAACTCTTATGAAACACTAGAAAATATATATTCCGCGTTTAGGCCTTGCCATATCTTAACTGTGTGTTGTCTTGCCCCAAACCTGCTCATATCCCTCATCAACAGCAGATGATGACGAAAGGCGGAAACACGTCTGGTAGATCAAAACAGCAATTTCTTGGAATACACTATGCACGAACGATAAATTATCATCCAGCAGACTTCAACAAAAATTTCGCAATATAGTATTTCATGGAAGAGTACTTAAAATTATTAAAAATCTGTGATAGATTTTAGTGGTAAACATTGTAGGAAAATAATAACTTGTTTGAATACTGTTGACTGTTGATCATTGTTATGATCGGTCAGACGTTATGTAATTTCACGATATTTTTTATTATAACTTATTAGAATTGTGTACAAGCATTACACTGATAACGCGTACAAAAAGTATCGTAAGCTTTATTTCGGTACTGTCTTTACTGAATCTCATTGGAAGTTTTAAAGTTGCGGTGCATTCATTTCTTTTTCAATGTTGGTTCTTGGATCGACTAAAAGAAAACAAAAGACCGTATATTCAACGCTGATACTACACGGCTCAAAACGAATTATTAAAATTGAAGCACAATCTCTTATTTGTCCCCAGGGAAGGTCTACGAGGATTGAAGTTGCCCCTGCGAATGGCGCGCCACGTGACCTCACCACAGTCGAATGCAGGTGTGGGCATCTGTATGAATTACGGTTTGGCAAAAACAAGGACACTTTGGATAAAGCGCATTTGATTTTAGACGTGCAAAAAAAAAAAAGAATCGTGTGACATGGAAATACCAACAAAATACATTGGACAGGTCAAAAATTTCCCACAGAGCAACCTTTCTTGTGCGATAGATTTTTATTTTCAACTTCAAAAAGTACCGTTGTGCAAAAAAATTAAGTCCTTATTGGATTATATTTAATCAATTAGGCTGTATTTATGATCCTAGTAAATTTGCTTGTAACAAAGAATTATCAATTTTCCCCCATTTGTTCTAGTAAAGATATCAATTTAAACGAAACTAGGAAATACGTTTTCTGATTTATTTCATTGGGAGTTTTTGTTGTAAATGTAAAACTAATTTAAAAAAAGTTTAGTTTTTTATCATCTTTGCTGATAACATCAAGATGTACCTAATTGCTACCATATTTCAAGGTCTTGGTATAAAATTCCATACCTTGTACCTCCCATCAGGCTTAGATTACTTTCTGTGAATAGTCCTAGATAGATAGGTCTTAGTTCATCACTGAAAATGGTGTAATGCCGAAAATATTTGAGTAGTTCAACAAACCCACGAGTGAAAAAGACCCACTAAATCACCCATGTTGGTTCAGTATGGGTTCACCGGCTCGCAGAGACCCAACTTCATTTCTCATAATCTTTTTTAAAAACACAATTCTTACTCACAGTTTTCATTTTTTTAAAATATTACTATTCTAATAATTAAATTAAATATTACTATTCTAAGTATTTTATTTGTCATCATTTATATAAATTCTAATACCCCAAGAAACCTCAAAAGACAATGGCCCTACAATTTATTCTCAGGGAGGGAATACAAGATTTCACTATTGAAACGATTGTTTTCACTCGCTTGTCGAATCCGTATGTTTAGTTCTGATTGTGTTTTGGTCATTAATGATATTAATTTCGCTAATTAATGGCGAAATAAACAAAATATATATCTGAAAAATGATCTTTTGGTTTTCTATTATTTATGAAATAAAAAAAATTGTATGAATAAAGGAAAAAAGCGAGTCTAGGCCGTTATTTGTTTTTTTATAAATATATGAAGGGGAAAGGGGTGAAACACAATAACCAGGACATTTGCCCCGCCGTTTTCGGATATTGCGATCCGTGTGCAATCGGATCGTAGGACTGTTCACATTCCAGAAGTCGACCCTCTTGAATTTTAAGTGGAATAAACAGGCTATACATTATAAACAAATCTGTTGTTTATCGAAATCCGCTTAATGAGGATTTACAATAGTGACTTTGTCAATGTTTAATTTGACTAATGAATTATTTCTTGGAAAAACTTAGTAACGAAATAAAGAAAGCAATTAAAATTTTGGAATCTTGAATTTAAGAGAAGGTTAAAGTGCCTTATAAAAACACCAATTCAGTTCAATAGTCATTTTACCTAATAATAATAATAAATAGAAGTTCAAATAAATCATAATTGTTCAATTAGCTTTGACTTCGAATTCAATATGATTGCAATGTTTCTTAGACCAAATGGAAAAAAAACTATTCTAATTTGATCGTCTCCGATCTTAATATTAATCATAAAAAATGTAATTACAGATTAGAATATGAATTTATCCTAGCTTTTACAAACCTACTTCAATGATTTCTTTAAGGGAGGTTCAGGTACAAATTTTGACAAATCAAAAATTATGATTTGTTGGACTGATAAAACTGACAAATATTTTTTCCGAAAAATATGGATCACGATATGGTTTTGATGAAAAAGCTATGTCATTCAATTGTTACTGTCAAGCTTTAACTTTAAGGTCATCATCAGGGGAAAGCATCGTAAATAAACTTTACAAATTGACATAATTGAGTTTTTTGTAGGCGATTTCAAATTTCTTTGAAGATCAACGCGGTCCCAGCATTCCCAAAGCCAAATAACACAATTGATTTTTTTATAGATCTCATTTGACATAAATACTACATTTAATTTAACTATATTTAAAACGATGGGATTCGAAATAACAAATAGATGATTTGTTTGACGTTGTAAATAAGTAATTATAGTTTTATAGTCTGATCAAGGCCATTTCTGAAAAGCTGGACGAAGGATTTGACAAGGGGAGGATACGGATGTGGGATCAACGATTTTTATACAACTTTTTCAGGTGATACTAGACTAAAAAATATTAGCCACGTGTCCGAGCATTCTTGCCAATGGATCCTAGGAGCAGATAACGACAATTAAAACAATAACATGCAGATCAGAATGTGTATATAAAAAGTTACAAAAATCAAAAAATTCGTTCAGTAAAGTAGGCCGAAAAAATATGTTTTTGAAGGAAATAATTGGATTCGTTTTAACTACCATTTAAAGCCGTTAAATACAAATTGTAATAGCAAAGAAAAAATACCCAATTTACGGGCTGGAACAGTTGGAGGCAATTTTTTTCGCGGATGTCTGATATCTCACTTGAAAATTCATAACTCCTCTGGGTTTTATCCAAATTCAACGACATCACACCTGTCGTAAATCTCGTGTATTTTATTTTTAGGCTATATCAATAAAGTTTAAATTTTTTGTCAGTGTACGTGGCAAAAACAAGGAAATCAACAAAACCCTCAAATGTCTTGTTTTATATTTCCAATTTTGACTTATTTAGAGAAAATTTGTGTCATTAAGTTTATAGGATTCAAAGCTACTAAGTAGTCTCTGTTCATCAGTGGAGCAGTTTCAAAGTGAACACTATTCTTGTGATTTTCGAAAAAAAAAATGGGGGACATATATGAAAGGCTACAAATTCGAGAATTTTTTTGATTGTCCAAAAAATCTAAACTCAGAAGATTTTTGGGAGGGGAAAGCTAATATATATCAACTTTGTTTTTGATTAAAAAATATTATAAGCTAATTGGCTAATATTTGTATGTTTTGAAATGAAATACATAATTATATTTACGTATCAAAGTAGGTTAAAAGTTAAAATTACCTGAATACAAATATTTGAGAAAAATCAAATAATGATCCGAATGTTGAAGATCTTTTTAGAAAATAAATCAGAGATATAAAATATTTTTATTTTATTGTATTTATTTATTTCGCCTTTACTGTGGTACTTTCACCAACATAAATTGAAAAACATAGGTAGAAAGAAGCGAATTCAGGTTTCCATTGATTGTAACAATATTAACTTTTGACAAAAACCAAAAAAGTTGATGCTGGGTGTTAGTGGGCGTTAGCTCATGCTGAAACTGCATTTGGCATGCATTTTTCTTTCTTTACTGAAAGGATCTTTTGAGTTTTGAAACTGTTTGTATATCTTATCTCATCTCCTGTTTATGTTATTTTCTTATCCTCGGTAAAAACGTAAAAGAATGATGCATCTTTGATATATGTAACATAGACAGAAAGAGCGATATTCAGCTTTCCTATGATTGTAATAACATTAACTTTATTTATGCACAATAAAGGCACAAACCTTAAATGATGTAAATTATTTTAATTTTTGTAGTTTACTCCTAGGGCCAATTGCCAAGAATGGTGGGGCACATGTTTAATATTTTTGACCTAATATCACCATAAAATGTCCTCGGCAGAATTGAGTTTTGACATGGAACACCGGACAACTGGGAAAACAAAATTTGCCGCCAAACACTCAGAAAACCCCCCATAAATGCCGATTTATTTGTTTTCTATAAAAATTTGTACTGAAAGGATATATCTAAAGTGGATTTAATTTGAAATTTTTTCTGAATTTACAGAATACCTCGGACTCGTGTAAAATTTTGTAATTTTTCGACCTAGTACAATATCACGAAAAAAGTTCTAATAAAATCGGTGATATAACATGGCCTCCCCTTGACCGTTGCCTCTTCGATCTTTTGAGTTATATCTCGTCCGTAGCCTCACATTAGATCCCATTACATGTTGATACAACATTGTTAATTTATTTTTATGTACTGTTGTATTACTTGTGTACTAATTACTTCAATTTCTATTAATCAAAAACGATCACGCTCAAAGGAGGATCTAAGCTTTTTTAACGTTTTAATTAGAAAAGTACTATGTAGATGCCCTGATGCAGATTTATTGTTGGAGAATTTACAGAATGCAACATCGTGCCAGTCGGAATTCCGTTGTTCTCGGCTTGATGAAGGTGCATTTCAACCCTTAAAACAGAGGACGAGTCTGTTATCGATTTTCTGAAATGAACCAGACTGCGCCGGGAGCTGGGGCCGGCTTTTGTAATACCATTAAAATTGTTTTACAACGACTTGCTTACGGTTTTGCCCATCCCATTCGGCCCAGGGCATCTTTACACGAAGCTCGATTAACTCGTTTCTTTTTGCTTTCTGGCTTTTCTTCTGAGTTTCTGTGCCGAGCGAATTCCAAGATGTTAAACATCTATCCTCTATTTCAATTTGCCCAGAAATGGAGATAAACGATTTTCAGTTTGAGATCGCCCCGGCAGATGCTTGCATCTTTTCTTTTATTGTCTGGGTGGATTAGAAACAGAAAGCTTAGATAGGACAAATAACAGTAACAGTAGAGATAAAAGTAGATTGGCCGGTTCGGATGGCGTTCCTACTTCATACAAGGCCTGCTTGAATATCTGCTTGAATATTGGGAAGAATACATACTTGTTCGATATTGCTGCGAGAAAACGAACTAAATTCTGCTGAATTACTTCAGTGAAATTATGATTTTTCTCCTGAAGATAGACATTTGTCCTCATTTTATTTCCCAAACCCTCAATACTGCATTAGATGTAAAATTAAAAACCACAAGGCATAAAGCTTTATCATTTTGATAATGGAATTTCCTGGATACGAAATAGTATAATTTTAGTATGACATAAAAGAATACATAAATCAAGTAAATAATGTAATAAATTCGAATATTCGTTTAAAAACCTAAACAAGACTCAAATCCTTAATTATCTTATTATTCAAGGCAAAATCGTAGCAATAAAGTACAGAATCACGTTAT